GGCACGCAGCCCTGTATGTACCCGCTGGTGAATGCGCAGTAGCGATGAGCGCTTGAAGGCCTTCCCACATTCACTACAAGCATAGGGACGCTCACCTGTGTGATCACGGAGGTGATAACGTAGCCCCGAGGAGCCCTTGAATGACTTCCCGCATTCTCCACACACATATGGTCGCTCAGGTGGTGGAGGTGGTGTTGCGGTGGCTGTAGGCACTGGCTCAGCCTGTGCTGGACAGGTCACTTCAGCTTCCTCCAGCCTCTGTTCAGCTGGGGGATGTGAACGTTGGTGGCCCAATAAGCTGGCCAGTGCAGGGAAGGAGCGCTCACACACCACACAGGTGTAAGTGCGATCTGATGAATGTTGGCTCTGCTGATGCCTTGCTAAACCTACTGCACTCTTGAAAGTCTTACCACACACTGAGCAAGATACTGAGGGCGTGGGAGATACTACAGGTGCCGTCTCCTCCTGCACTGATGGTGGTGGCATTTCTGGCAGAGGCAACGGCTCTGTTGGGGCCAAGTGCGTTTCTTGGTGACTTAACAGTTGCTCTTGCAAGGGAAAAGTAAGATGGCAGATACTACATCGAAATATCATCTCTACTGTGGTGGTTGGCTCCTCCAAGAAGAGTTGTGCTGGAGGTGCAATGTCAGCATGAGTCTCTAGGTGCTGCTGCAAATAGGTATCAGATGCAAAAGCTTTACCACAAATAACACAGGTGTGAATAGAGCGGGCAGTGTGTGCTGATCGGCAATGCAGTGCTAGATTAGATGAGTGCGTGAAAGCTTTGCCACAGTCCTGGCATCGATAGGGTCTCTCACCAGTGTGTACTCGCTGATGCTGTCGTAGGTTTGTGGATTGAGTGAAAGCTTTGCCGCAGATAGGGCAGACATAAGGACGCTCACCTGTATGTGTGTGGCGGTGCCGCCGCAAGCTAGAAGAGTTCTTAAAGGCCTTATCACATGCTGGGCAGGGATAGGGGCGTTCTCCAGTATGTTGGCGCAGGTGATACTGGTAATGGGAAGACCACTTAAAGGCTTGGCCACAATGAGCACATTTAAAAGCACGCAGACCAGTATGTACACTCTGATGGATCTGAAGCAAGGATGACCGTTTAAAGGCCTTGCCACATTCACCACACTTATATGGTCGCTCACCCGTGTGTCCACGCTGGTGATACAGCAAGGCCGACGAACCTTTGAAAGCCTTGGGGCATTCTGAGCACTTATAAGGTCGCTCGCCTGTGTGAGTCCGCTGGTGATGAATGAGCCGTGATGACCATTTGAACACCTTGCCACATTCTAAGCATTCATATTGATGATCGCCACTGCCACCTGCAACAGGACCTCCACCTGTTGGGGCCACTGCGGGCACTGCTGCTGCCTGCATCTCTATCTGCTGAGCTCCCACCATTTCACCTGCTGGAGAGAATCAGTATTACCTGTTTGTCACAACTGTCACTAACATGTTAGCAAGACTTATTCAGCAAAATATGTCACTAATTGACTTGTAATTCAATATGTTGCATGCATGTCAAAAAATAAATTATATATCTGAGAAATAAACAAAATCTTCCCTACAGTGATCTTCGCTCACTCCATGTACTTTGTCCCAGAACTTAAATAAGGTAAATAAGCAATGCTATCTAAAAGTTTAGGGAACTGATGATTTCTACCATCATCTTCCATGGATGCTATTGGCAAGACCAAGAGCCCAGAAAAGGAAATAAACTATATTCCTAGCCCTGGCTATTAAGGAACAGAGACATATTAACACTGGGATTATTTTACCAAACAATTACCTTGTAACCTCAAAGTCGCACCAATGTATACAGCTACAGCAACAAGACCCTGAGAAGCAGATATTTTCTATCCTCATCGTTATAATATTCTAAATGTATTACACCGTAACATATTCTAGTAGCCTATTTATGGATTAAAATAATGGTAATTCACATGTAAATTGCATAAATAATAATATTTGAAACTTGAATTATCAGGCTGAAATAAGAGCAACTATGTTTATTTTAACAAAAAGAAAAGAATGGTATATTCAAATATAATGGGTGCAATATTTTAATTGACAATACAATATTAGAACTGAAAGAGGGATCTGGGGGAAGGGAAGGGAAGGAAAACCGACAAGAAAGGATATTACTACTCAGATATGAAATCTTGTTCATCTGTAGCAATTGGTAGGCAACTAAAAAGCAGCAAAACATCTGGTTACTAGTGCTGAGCAGTTTGTGAAATTGGAGGAGTTGGAATGAGGCAAGTCCAGACACTTTGTAATCAAGAGTTCAGATTATGGCTGAGAATTTCTTCATGCTATCAAAGGGGTACCTGTGAAAGTGGTAAGTCACAATTCCTATGTCTCTCAGTTTTGGCCAAATTTGAAAAGGCAACTGGGGGCTGAAATGCAGATCTGGAGCCACAATTTTCCAATTATACAATAAACCATTAATCTCTCTCTCTCTTTCTCTGGGAAATGGGACATTGGTTAAATATTTTACATCTTCAAGAATCCTATTTTATCTCATTCTCCCTGTCTCAGAGGGAGAGGGGAAGGGAGCGGTAGATAAAAATAGGATTCTTGAAGATGTAAAATATTTAACCAATGTCCCATTTCCCAGCATTCACATAATACTTTAGAAACCAAATGTTAGTGAAGCGCAGAAAAAGGGTTACAGGGTGAGTAGAGGGTTTATTTTCCCTCCAATTTCTCTCTCTCCGTTTTTTGAAATAGGCCCATTTGACTTTAAGCAATGTCCAGCCTCATAACGGTGTGAAGAGGACAAGCCATTCTCTCACTTGTTGAACTGCAGCCTGCATCCTCCAGCAGGGACCACAATGCAGGTTGGGCACTGATGGGAGTTGTAGTCCATCCTAAGGGCGCCAAGTTGGAGAATGGTGGCTTAAAGGTGAACCTCTCATGAACCGCTAGGTGAGAAGGAATTCCACATTCACGTGTCCCTCAATTACAGCCCTTCCTATTGCCTCCAATATTGTAAGATGAAGAAACATCCTGTAATTAAAATTGCCTTCCCCATTTCTCCACCCGACCACCTTGGGAACAAGCGAATATTCTGTCGGAGGGAAAAAAATTCCCCTTTTGTGACATGCCCCTTTAAAGAAAGAGCCTTTCCTTTAAGGAACCCAGCTCCGCCGCCCCTCCCCCTTCGCTGCCGTTCGGTCTCGCGACGTCTTTTTTTCCCCTTCCCCCTTGCTGTCCCACTAATACTCTGAGTTTTCTCCTCACCTGGACCTTTTTTTTCCTTCCCGCGAACCTCGTTGCAATGAGGGATTGATGGGAGAGCCGCCACGGGGCTATGGGGGGAGGGGCACCCCCTCCTCCCTCCTAATAGCCAGGGGCGCGAGACACCCAACCTTTACCTTGCTCACACTAACAGCCCGCGACGCCGGCCAACCCCACCCCTTTGCTCTTCTGCCATTGGCTACTCAGAACATCTTGGGAGTTGTAGTTTAAATACAAGTCTTTCGCCATCTTGGCCATGGGGCACGTGACCGCGAAGTAAATATGCTGGAGGCTCAACAGGAAGCGCTTTCTGTGCTAGTTCGATGTCAGGCAACTGCGTGGTCGAGGCGCAGATTTGGGCGGTCGCGGAAGTGCTATGGTGTGATAAGAATTCGGATATTAAGAACACATCAATGCACGTGCATTTGTTTCTGTTGTTAGTCTACTCCCAGGACAAAGTGTTTCTACCTGCTGAATGAAGTTTAATGTTTACACAATGCACTTTATCCAGGCTGAATCATGCAAGTACAAACTACATCGTTAGTTCCCTGAATCACAACAATGGGAACTCACAACTCATACATTTGTTTGCTTGAAACATTGAATCTTTTCAGCACTAGGGACCGGCTCCGTGGAGAGAGAGGTTTTTCTGTGGACCGAAGAGGGCGTGGTTTTGTCCGCTGCCTGCATCCCGCGGACGGGGCTTCTGCTTGTTTGTGCATCCCAGTTGTTGGCATGCAGTGTACCGGTTCTGGTCCACAGACCAGGGTTTGTGGACTTTGTATTACATACAGCTAGTCCTCATCTTACAACCACAGTTGAGCCCAAAACGTCTGTTGCTAAGTGAGACAGTTAAGTGAGCTTTGCCCCATTTTACAACCTTTCTTCCACAGTTGTTAAGTGAATCACTGCAGTCATTAAATTAGTAACATGGTTGTTAAGTGAATTTGAATTCCCATTGAGTTTGCTACCTGTATTTTACACTAAATATTACTAAGGGGTGGCTGATGGACTGGAGGGAGGGGCTTTTGCCATTAATGGATTGATAATAATAATGGAGAAATGCTTAGAATACTAGAATAGTTAAATAGGAAGAAATTAGAGGAAATGTATTAATTTAGTTGTAAGGAGTGCAATTAGAATTCAGAATAAATACATTTCTAGTGTGCACATATATATGCAGGCTTTCTGGCTTGTTCACAGTAAATTTGGGCTGAAGCCAATTAAACAAAACCAAAAATACTCAGTTAAATAATATATTGTAGAAAAGCTGAGAAGCCATTATGAAAGATTTTGTGACTATTGTGTATCAAAAGTGATTCCTATTTATACTGAAATCATTTTTTTTCTAATTTTGCTCCTCTTTCTCTTGCCCAAATTATGCAATGAGCTTCATGGTTTTCTCCTTTGGATGGGAGAGCCAATTTCCATTAGGTTGTAGTTTTGACAGTAGACAAATAAAATACCAGGTTATTTTCCTTTGACCATGTAAAAAGTATCCCACGCCCCAGTTTATTTCCAAGCTGTTTCAAAGTTCTTGCCCTGTCAATGTCCAGGAGGTTATTTGTAATGTGCTCCTATATAGATCAGTATGGTTGGATGGAGGGTGCTTATTTTGGATACAGAAACTGAATTAAATGACCATCTTCCTTTTCTGTTCTGTTTTGTGATATTTTGAGATTGCTTTTAGTCTTATCAACAAGCTCGCAAACAACAACTTCAACATTTTTCTTCTCTGTCTCTTTCAGTCCCTTTCCACGGCAGAGGGAACATGACCTGGGTAACTTGCTGAGTTGTCCTAGAGTTACATGGCATCCTGGGAGCCAGCCTAAGCTATTAGCCTACTGGAAGAAATCCAGCATGTTCCAGGACTGAGGTGTGAAAGCATCGTTGACAAGAGATTACACAAACACTTTTACTGTTACACAACAGCCTTTTGGCTGTTTTCCTAACTAGTGATCAGAAAGTCAGAATGTCAATTGTGAATAGACCATCAGAGTTTATATTTCATTACAGAACATGTCAGAGGTTAGATAGTCCCTATGGCATTTTAAAAGTTCTGAATGTTGTTATAGTGCACACCAGAATCAACTTTTTTGCCTTCTTAAACTATATCTATGCATGTTTATCTAGAATAAAAATTCGAGTCTTGCACATCTAGAATGAATTGAGGAACCAATTATCCAGATTATTTCTGAATAATTCCATACAAAATAAAAAGGTACACTCATACCTTGCCTTGGAAAACAGAGAATTCTTCTAGGATTTTTTTTCTGTTCATCTTGCTACATATAGTAATTGTTTAGAAGAATCAGAGAGTTATATGTTAAAATTGGACTTTCCAGCTTGATCTTATTCAGCACTGGTATGCGTAAAACAAATGGTTTTATTTAGATTTTGCACAAATGAGATGGTGTATAGCCCTAGTAAAAAAGCACATTTGGTTTAATTAAATGGAAAATGCTTAAGTTGAAAATATTTGAATGTGCCTCCCATCTCTGATTTAGTGATCCTTTGTTTAGATGTGATCCAATAAACACCTGCATGAGTGTAAACATGGTAATCCAACTTTAGGACAATCTGTCATTCTTAATTATTTTTTAGTGACTAGAAAGCTTATGTGAAGCTAAGGATTTGCACAGCTCAGTTGAACTAACTTGCAGATGCTCCTTAGTGATCTTTCAGAGGGTGTTTTTTAAAAGATGTCAAGCATGCTTAGTCTCTGGATAGCTTAGCATGCCTCGGTATTCATCAAATTTCAGAAAATTTAAAATGTTTTGTGGTGCTGTGGAGTGGGGAGAAAAGACAGAGAAGGCACCTTAACATTAAATGCCTTCTTATCAAAAGGTATAGAGAGCACAAAATTTGCCCATTGATCTTGATTTGGGTTAGAGGAGAAACTGTGACAAAAGCCTGAAAGACATTGAAAGAGACCTGGCAGATCCATGTTATTTACTATGTGCTTGTTCCAGGATTGTTGACGACAGCTGCACTACTCTGAACAGGACTAGAAATCTAAATCAGATGGAGAACAACATTCCTGGATCTGTGCCAGGATCAAAATTAAACGTGTTGTGTGGCCATAGGCACAGTTAGCCAAGCTACTGCAAAGTTGGAAAGGAACACAAACTGAATTGCCACCTGCCTGCCTGAGTTTTGTTTGCAATTAGCAGCAGTTTCCTTCTTTTTAGAAGTTTAGAGCAATTAAAGCTTTTAGCAATTAGATGAATGCTTTACTTTAACAATGTATGCACAGTAAATAACTTCAGACTGTTTATGTACTGAAAAATACATTAATCAAAGAAAGGGGAAAAATATAAACACACAAACGAGTACTTTGAATACTTACATTTCAGTGCCTAGTGGAAAACTTTCAGAAGAGAATTTGGTGAACAATAGAAAAGAAACATTGTGCATCTCTCCTCAAGTGTGAGGTGGAAATCCTGCAATTGCTTGTTGGTCATTGCTGTATTATAGATATGGTGGCTTTTTAATCATGTAATTAGTTTTGTAGAAGCTCAATGAATTTCTAAATACTACACAGAGAAGAAATCAAAGGACTTAATCCCAAACAAATGGGAAAAGAACTGATTTAAATTTCTTGATAATATTGTGCTTTGTACCATCTTTAAGCCACAAATGTGAGTTCTTTTTAGTAGATTGACTGAATCTGACTAGCTGGTCTTCCTTAACATAAATATCATATAGTTTTCATTTAGTGCATTTATAGTGGCAAGAAAATTAAGTATAGAATGGAGATTGGACAAAATCTTTGACAAAATCATTCAAATCTATCTGAAAGGGATTTTTCCTGGTACTAAATTGACATACTATACATCCATGCATGAATTGGCAAAAAACTTCCAATATGATTTTTTTTTTTTAAATCCCTATTGTCTCTATTTCAGATCACTGCAATCTGTGGGCTTCCCTGAAAAAGCTGATAAGATTTTATACTACTTGATATTGCCCTGGGGATAGTGTTGAAATAAATGGAAAAACTACTTTAACAAAAAAACAGCTTGTTGAGTCAGGCCCCTATTCAAGTGCTTAGGACATGTACGCTTCTAGGAGTAGCAAGAGGAAACAAATAAGAATATGCATGATAACATAATTGTGCAAATACCGCAACTTACCTACTTGCTTCTAATGTTCATAATGGTGGATTTTGTGTGATCATATCACCATATAGGTAGTCATTTTGGCAGCATAACAATTAGTGCTGATACCACAGATTGGGGACCAGTGAAACCATATCATGGGGAACATGACCAAAAATGTCAGAGACAGATTCATATAAGTGGGTTCAAATGGGGAAAAGCCCTATGTTATATAATTTTATATAATTGTTGATAGAGAAGAGGAACAGACCAGGTATTCTGACATTAGTTTGGAAAGGAAAAATAGAATATTGATGCAGTAATTAATTATTAGTAATTTTATTGTCATTAGTCCTCCAGCCTTTCCTAATTCTATAAACGTTTACTTCTAACATTTCCATCAACACCTTTTATATTAATTTATTCTTTCTTTTATTAATTAACAAATGCCTTCTCCATTGCTGTTATTTTTGTCCTTCCAGAATATTTTATACTGTTTTCTGAATATTCTTAAGTTTTGATCATAAAGTTATGCTTACTGGAGATGCCTTCAATAAAGTGGATGTGATTGGCTTGTCAAAACCCTCGTAGTGAGAAAAGGTAGACATCCATTCAGATGACTTTACCTATGAGTAGTAGGATATTCTCCATTTAGGAATCATGACTACTGTAGTTCGAATATTCTGAAAAGTTCCAATAGAAGACAATATATATATAGCTCAGGCTTGAATGTATTGATGATGTTAGCTAGTCAGATAATGAAACATCTATAAGCAAACGATCTCAAAGAACACCAAGGACTTCATAATTCTGAAAAGTATTTGGCTTGTAAATATCATCTTCCATTTCCCCAAAGTTGTAACTCAAGACAAGGTTTAATGCAACAATTTACAGAAGAGCAACAAAAATGATTAGGAGTCTAGAAGCTAAATTATATAAAGAACTAGCTGGATATCCGTGCTTCGTACAAAACTATGTGATTGGGCTTGATAAATCGACACTTACAGCTTGAAAATTAATGAGTAGTTACGATCGGCCTCTCCTCTCCCCATCTCTCCCTCAGCCTTGCCCCACAGAACCCTATCCTATCCCGCTTCTCTCCCTCAGCCTTGCCCCAAAGAAACATCTCCTATCCTATCCCCTTGTTTCCCTCACCCTTGCTCCACATAAACCTATCCTATCCTATCCTATCCTATCCTATCCTATCTCTTTCTCCCCCTCAGGATTGCCCCACAGAAGCCTCCCCTATCCTATCCCCTTCTCTCCCTCAGCCTTGCCACACAAAACCCTCTCCTATCCTATCCCCTTCTCTCCCTCAGCCTTGCCCCACAGAAGCCTCCCCTATCCAATCCCCTTCTCTCCCTCAGCCTTGCCCCACAGAAGCCTCCCCTATCCTAGCCCCTGGTTGCTGCTGTGAAAGTAAAACTGAAAGTGAAACTCCTGTCCTCTGTATTTTGCATTTGGAACAGATTTCTTTTCAGATGGGAAGGGGAATAGAACTCCTTAGCATCAGAGGGCTGTTTGGAAAGTGAAACAGTATTTTCTGTGTGAGCAAGAAGGAGACAGGAAGGAGCCTGGCCATGGGTTAGCTCAAGTGTTCTGCATTAAAACTGCTTCCTGCTGTGAAAGTAAAACTGAAAGTGAAACTCCTCTCCTCTGTTTGTGTTTTGCATTTGGAACAGATTTCTTTTCAGGTGGGGAGGGGGAGTAGAACTCTTTAGCATCAGAGCGTGTTAATCATAATATAGGGAATACTAATGCTCTAATGGTCATTTTGAAAAATCCCTTTTTAGTGAGCACCTAGAAACCAAGAGGAACATATGTGGCAAATTTCAAGTTTGTAGGCTTTACGGTTCTGGACATTTCATGATTACAACCTGAGTGGCTTTCGTGTTTATATATATATAGATGATTGTAGCAACTCGATATACCTAATCTAGTGAAAAGAAGAATTAGAAGTGACATGATAGCAGTCTTCCAATATTAAAGGGCTGAAACAAGGAAGAGGGAGCCAAATTATTTACCAAAGTACCTGTAGGCATGACAAGAAACAGTGAATGGAAACTAACCAAGGAAAGAAACAACTTAGAACTAAGGAGAAAATTCCTAACAGTGAGAATAATTAACCAGTGGAACAAATTGCCTTCGGAAGTTGTAGGTGCCCCATCACTGGAGGCTTTTAAGAAGAGCCTGGATATTCATCTATCAGAAATAGTATAGGTCTCCTGAAAGAGCTGGAGGCTAGACTAGATGACCTTCAAGGTCCTTTCCAACTTTATTAATGTTACTGTTACACAGGAATTCAGATCAGAACATGATCCCCAACAGCTGCTTACAAATGGTAGGCTTTAATGGCTGCTTAGTCCTTAGTTCTTCATTCCATCTTTATTTATTTGACTTCTCTCCAACCTTTGAGAATAGCCAATCTTGTCAATAAAACATAGGCTGAATCTTTGTAAATGGGCTGAGAACCAGCACTTTTTCATGGAACAATAGAGAAGTAGCAGTAGAAGTTGTTTTTTTTAAAAAAAAACTAATGGTAAAACAACTGATTTAAAAATTCCTAGAAACTTTGCCCCCTAAATTCAGTTCATTATACGGCTCTCTGGAAGATAGTCATATCTTTCCACTTATTCCCGCCCTGTGTTCTTAACAATGGTTAACTTCAAACTAAACAAACTGTAACTTTTTTGGTCGTTGTTTCAGATATTCTTCAATACCTTCAAAAATGGTACTCTGTTTCCCCCAAAATGAGACATCCCCTGATAATAAGCCCAATTGGGCTTTTGAGCCCATGGCAATAAGGCCAAGCACTTATTTCAGGGTTCAAAAAAATATAAGACAGGGTCTTATTTAAGGGGAAACAGAGTAGAACCTAAAAATTCAGGGAGGGAATTTATTGTACATATATATATTGTATATGTCTTCAGAGTAGCTTGTGTTGCCCAGTCAAATATTAGGAGATGTTCATAGGAATTTTTTATGACACTTGTAACATGTTGTAACATGTTTGATAATCATTTTTATGTTAGAAAATATTTTATAAAATTTGTCAAATTTCAATTCCTCATGACTCATGGGTCCTGGATTTGGATACATTCTATAAGTTAACCATTTGAAGTTGGCTGAAAATGTTTTGCCTTATAGTGCACTGTTTTCCCCTAGTTAAAACACAAACACAAGAGCTTTAGTATATAGATGTCATGAATGTCTGCTAGCATTCATTGATAGCTTATCAATTCCATGATCAACACCCAAGGCAAATATATTATGATTTTTAATTTTTTAAAATGGGGTTTTACTTATTCAGTATTTTCAGTATGTATAGCAGTGCATCCTCAAACTTCCTTCTGAATTCAAATCCAGTTCTTTAATAGTTATGTTTTTTAAATATATGTTTTATTAATACATTTTTATATCATATAAAAAATCCATATCTATCTGAATAGCATGTTGTCTGGACACAATTAATTTTAAGCAGAAATACCGTATTAATCAACATTAATCATAATAAACATAATAAACTTCAGTAATAATCACAAAATAGTAATACAATTAGTTTATTTATCTTACAAAATTTTCAATACAAAAGTTCTTACTATCTTTTGGATCTTTTTATATTCTAATCTCTGATTCTGTTAATTAACCATTGGTAAAACAAGCCCCATGTCAAAAAGTATTCTGTTTCTTCCTTTTCTTTTAATTATTAATCTGTCCATCAGCACATTCTAATATTTTTTTATCATACTTTCATCTGTAGGGATCTCTTCATTTTTCCATTGTGCAAACACAATTCTTGCTGCCGTTAATACATGTAAAATTAAATATATTTTCCCTTTGTCATACTGTTCTGATAATATACCCAACAAGAATACCTCTGGTTTCAAATCTATATGTCATTTTATTATTTTTTTCTAGCCGAGTATGTATTTTAGTCCAATATTTTTTCTCTTTTGAGCATGTCCACCACATATGATAATATGAACCTGGTTTCTGATTACACTTCCAACATTTAGTTATGCATTTTATTTTTTTAATTTTTTTTAAATTTTCAAAAAAAAACTTTATTAAATTTAAAATATTAAAATACTAATACAAATACATCTGTAACAAAAATACATCCATGATAGTTATACAATTCAACGTCGTTCCAACAGTACACAAATCTTAACTTAATTGGGATCAATGGATAGAAAATAAAAATAGGATATAGATCCAAATAAGACATAAATTGTGTTTACATATATTTGATCAAGAAGGAATATCTGAGAATATATGAATAGAGTTAAGATTTGTGTAGTTATGTATTTTAAAGATGTGCTGATGCTCCCTTGTTATGGAATTAAATCAAGGTATACCTTGCCAGTCAGCTTTTTCTAAACAGCATTTTCTGTGAGCTCTGATGATTCTCTACTAAGTAACTGGAAATGTTTCAACACTATTAGAAACTCTGACATCCCAAGACACATGTGCTAAAATTCACATGGAGTTCCAAACTACACTGGCCTGGGAAACCAATTATAACAGGGGTGTCAAACTCAAAGCCCCTGGGGTGCTTAGATCTGAACCACGAAGCCATCCTGGAAACAGTGAAGGACCGGCCTGCAGTGAAAATGGAGGCAGCCTTCCTGAGCTCCGTTTTCACTGGCAGTGGTTTGTAGGAGGCTGTTGTAGCCAAAAACAGCTCGGGAACCTGTTTTCGCTGGCAGAGCACTCAGGCCACCACAGGTGCCCCTGACACGAGAGATGTCAAGCTGGCCACAGCCACACCCTGGCCACGCCCACTCCAGTCCCCCGAGGTCAACACAATCCTGATGCGGCCCTCAATGAAATATAGTTTGAAACCCTTGGTCTAGTGCCTCCTTCACCAATATGGTGATTGAGTTATTTATTTCCCACATTTAGTCTAGCATGTCCTCCTTAAAGCAGCGTGCGTCAATTACAAACTTTGCTAATAATAAAATAATTGCTGCTAAGGTTACAGGATATCACCTCAGAGACATAACTTTATCTTTGGCTTACAGTGTTGACTGAAAAGTGTTGTAGGAAAGATAAAACAATCATTTGAAGAGTTTTGAGATACCATCTGTTAGCTCCCTATTGTGTTCTCATTCTCAGCAATCCTTCCCTAATTCCTGCATTATGATGTCACCAATAGAGTTTCTTATCAGAACACCCAAAAAGAGTTTTAGGTATTTGAAGTATGTGCTATCTCTTCAGTGCCTGGAATAACTGATTTTCTTTGTACAACTTTTTAAAAATAATCTATATAGTGATAGTTGACCTTTTTGCTTATTCCACATTAAGCATCCCATGGCCCCTGCAGCTGAGTTATTGTTCATAAACTCAGATTAAAACAAAATAAGTCTTCCGTTCTTTCCTTCCAATTTCCCCATTATGGTTCAGGACAAATCCTTTATCAAATTAGAAAGGTTAGTCCATTGGCATCAGTCCAAGGGTAAGTTCAGTTAATAAAGCAGTACAGATATATTATGTCTTAGATTCACTTTATGAACACTTTGTCCATCCTGTAATGTATTGTGAAATGTATTGAGACTTCAAACATCCAGTCAAGATTGATACATTCTAATAACAATTATTAGATTGATGAAATGAGCATAGGGTTTGATATCAGATTTCCCCTGAAGAACCAAGCATCGCTGCATCCATTTAGATGATACCTATGTTATGGCCACAAAACAAAGTTGAGATCAAAAAGTTCTGGAAAGAGTTGCAGGGAAGGATATGTTGTCCTAAGTATATGAGGGTATGTGTGGTCATGACCTAACTCCAGGAGAGCAACAGTCCCTGAAATATGTCCCAGCTATCATATAACTTTATGATGCAATAATTATGGCAGGCTGCCGTTGGTTATAAACTTTATTTGTCACGATTTCATAGGATATGTTGAGAATATTTGACTTTGGTCATATAACAGTAGGAATCAAAGGCAATTGTGTTGTAATTGAGAGCACATCATGCTCTTTTGTCTGGAAAAGGTATCGATGTCAGGAGAGATTTCTGTCCTTGCTGAAATTAGTTGAAACAAGAAATCAATGTATCTGTACTGAGGTTGCATAATATTGAGCACTTCTGCAGTGTGTATAAGAAGAAGAGTTGGTCTATATGCCAAAAGATTCTTATGGTGTAGGAATCTTGAAACATGCCCACTCAGAACCTTTCTGACAGCACTGAGGCCATGTCTTCATCACTCATTGGTTTTTCACACCTGAACTATCAATTTTCAAAAGAGTTTACAGGCAGAGGATTAGACTTCTCCACCATCTGCCTAAACTTCAGCAAGATTGGCACACAGCATAGCACATTCAGTCCTCATCAACAAAATTGTTATCACTTGACTTCAAAACTTGTTCAATCGTTTGCTTAATTGTAAGACATGGACTCATACTTCTCACTTTCTTTTCCTGGCTGCCCTAACCAACTTCAAAACAAATATCAAGCCTCCCCTTTAATACCAACAATGGGAAGATTCCTTTCTGCCCTATACATCTAGTTATCTTAAATCCAAAATTACCTACTGACGTTTTTTGTGTAAAAGCCAAAAGGGAAAACTACCACTATCTTGGTAACAACAAAAACTCCTAACCAGGCCATATAAATGTATTAATAGTAGATTTTCTGTGATTTATTTTCTTTGAGTATAAGTCTCCAAGCTTTGCTGATACTAATAATTATGGGGCTGACAGATGAATAACTCTTTATCTTACTTTTTCCTGAAGAGGCTGCCAGGCAGCATTAGCCAAGAATATCTTTCAGGACATCTGAGATGTATTTGCATATGAAATACGTGAGTATGTAGAAAAAGAAGATAGCAAAAAAGTTTTAACTTTGCCACCTTGAGATATATCAGCCATAAGAAAAATGCCTGCAAAGTAATCAGAATTTATTTACACATCTTGATTAATTAACAGGAGTTTGCTTTTAAAGATATTCAGGGCTAATTCCTGTTTGTCCTTCATCTACTTCATTCTTCATTTTGAAGTGAACATGCTTCTCAATGTGTATTCAGTGTTGTTTTCAATTGTTCAGTCACCATTGACTTTTGATACAAGGCCAGGACTTTCCTGGCAGAAATTGCTTTTCCAAGTTCTTGAAACTCATATTTGTATTATTAATTATTGCACTTAGTCACCTTCTCTTGGCTTCTTTTTTGATTGACTGATTTTTCCAAGCACCAGAATCTTCTCAAATGCTCTTATCCTTACATTATATGCCCCAATTATCTAGATTTTAGTTTTAGCTTTATTATCTATCTATCTATCTATCTATCTATCTATCTATCTATCTATCTATCATCTATCTATCTATCTATCTATCTATCTATCTATCTATCTATCTATCATTACAATATAGGAAGGTTCCCACACCCTTGAGCCTCCTCCCTGCCTTGCTCCACTTATTTCTTCTGAAGTTCACCTCTCTGAAAGAAAATGAATTCATGTTTCATATGGCCTTCCTGTACAGAAACTGCCTTGTGCCATCCTGGAAGCAGGGATCATTTTAAACCCGAGAATTGTAGCCACTCACAAACTGGCATCCACTTCTGGGATGGCATAAAGTGGCTTCTCTAAAGGAAAATCATTTGGCTCAGAAGGGCTCCCTTCTGAGGGATGGTACAAATGGCAACCACCTGCAGAATGGCATGAGGTCTCTGCAGGAAGATGGAACATTGCATGACTTGGGTGCTGTTTTAGGAAAGTGTTCTATGGAAAAGGTAAGTGAGCAAGGCATGTTGAGGCAGGAAAGAGGCCCAAGGATGTGGGATCCAGTGGGGCAGGAAGCTATGGAAGGAATGCCTCCAGGAGTAGGGAACCCCTGGGAGGTGAGGCACAGGCCACATGTGAGCTAGGGAGGTGCTGCAATGAGGGACTTTTTTGATAGCCTGTCCCCACCCCAAGACACCTTGTATTCCACATAACGACCCATGTGGTCACTTAACAATCACAATGGGGAGAACTGGGATTGTGCTCATTATGTGAGGTAATCATATGAATGCCTCACTTAGCAACCGCAACAATGTAGGACCATAATTCCTGCCCAATTGTAGTTATAAGACAAGAACCATCTATAGTGATGTCCTAAAAATGGTTATCAATATACCTAGTAATAGCACTTTGATTCTGATTTTAGGAAAACAAATATTTGTGAAATTATATAAAAAGAGAGACCAGAAGAAGATAGACATGTCTGAGTACATTTCCCCCACATCCCCCAGGAATGTGGAGGAATACTCAGAGGATAAAATGAGTATTTTACTTCACATTACTAACAAGGAGTATATTATACATCAAAAAAGAGAGGACTATGTTTGATTACTGGCTGAATGTTAATAAGGAATTGATAATGAAGGAAAACATTAAGAAATGTGAGTTGGAGTCTGAAGTGACAGAGTCTAATCTATTATAATATTCTACAGGTAGTTCTCAATTTAAGACTATGATAGGGACCAAAATATTCAACCTTAATAACCATCCTTGGTTATTATGACTGTGGCTTGTGACTGTCTTGTCAGAAGTTGCTTGGAAAGATCCCAAATGGCAAACGTGACTGCAGAATGCTGCAGCCATTTGTAAATGTGTGATGGCTGCCAATTGCCCAAATTGTGATTATGTGGTTATAGAGATGCTGTGATGGTGTTAAGCGGGAGAACCAGCCACTTTTATCAGTTGTAACCTTGGATTGTTGCTAAACAAATAGTTGTTCAGTGAAGACTATTTATATTACTGCCTTTTTCCAATTGTGTGGTTGCCAGAAAGCAAAGAAAAGAACCAGGGATTTTAAAAAATGGTAAGCTATAAAAAGAGTTTGGGAAAAGACTCCAAGTGTCATTTCAGAAAGGAAGGACTATAATAATTAGCAACATGGCCAAACAAAGGAGAGCTAAAAATGTGAGAGGATGGGAATGAAAGCATTATGTAGCTTGAAAGTCAGAAGGAAAGGGCTGAGCTTTATATTTTGACTCAGATTTACTTTAATGTTGTCTCTCAGCTTCAAGCTGAGATAATATTTCTTTAAAATAATATGTCAGGCAGTAGAACCTGAAAAGAATATAAGCACCAATATATTGTTTACAATATAAATCTATACACTTTATTTACAATTATACACTTAAGTGAATATTATTATAGCATTAAATCAGCTATATACATATAGTGCTAGAATCACAACAGCATCAATTTCAGATCCCCAAACAGTTTTATGCTCTCAGAAACTCTGGACAATTTTGCCACATAAAAATCACAGGACTTCTTGCAATAAAACCCTCTTTTTGCCATCCTTTAGTTAGATATGTCTCAGCAGATAATATAAGATGGCTTTTCACAAAGAACCATATAATTGTTCATTGATCATCTTTCTTTATACCCAAGTTTCCTGGGCTGATTAAAAAAAAAACACACACTTCACAACAATACGCTTCAAATAAGTTTCTTGCATTTGACTGCTGTTGTAGGAAACAGAATCACTAATTTTTACCCCATTCATTCATAGGAAATTTTAAACTGACTCCATTTTATCTGATCCACAATAAAGGAAGAAAGCTATGATTTTTTCACTTGGTTCCTTTAAGAAGCTTTAAGAATTTGAGGGATAATTCTTGATTAAGGAAAGTATCAGGCCCACCATCATGTCTTGCCAATATGTTGGAAGAGAGAGGCGGGATGGGGGGGGGGCTCGCTGGCATTTTCTTATGCTTTTGCTTTGACTAACTGCTTGGGAATTAGGGAGGGAGATTGTCTTCGGAGATGGAGGGGACTTCCCTCCCAGCCTGACTTCAAGGCCAACCTGCCCTGAGGGTGACCTGTTACCTGCCTAGCACCTCAGAGTTTCCATAATAACCTTGCGGCATCACATTGGCTGCTGGTAGATTGGTCAGAGGGCTTAGATTGGGGAAAATGAAAAAATGCTGTTTGCATCACATGGGCTTTTTCAGATTTCGCCTTGCTTTCCTGCAATCACTTTCTCTCAGTAAAAGTTCTTTTGATTGGACTTAATGGATTCAAGAGGTTTTCTTTACTGAAGGACTAGCTGAGACAAGTCCCTACAGAAAGACTGAACTCAAATCTTTTGAAACTGCGATCTGGAAGAGAGACAGGAGATTGGAAGACTAACTCTCATAGGTTTTCCCTGAGTTGGCTTCTCCTTCCTTGCTCAGTAAGCAGCTTGTTTTGTCTCCTAGTCATCTTTACTCTGTTTCTTTGGCTCCACTGATTTTTACCAAACAAAATATCTTCATCAGGTGATGGACATCTTTGGTCCTTTAAAAGCTAAGGTGAGGTTTCAGAGCCTCTTGTTTCTCCTGGCAACACACTTGGTCTTCAGCATCTCCGGGTAGTGCCAAGAAGTTCTCTGCTGGGTCGGACACGACTCTTTACTTCCGGTAGCAACCAAGGTGTTTTGATGTAATTCATAATCACTTTGGCAGGGCTACGGAGTGCTGGGTTGGGTGTCAGGAGCCCTTGCAACATTTCTAATGCTTGGGGAGTGAAACGTTCCCAATGGGCTGGGAGTGATACAAAACGGGGGCTACGATGCCAGGAGACAAAGCTGCGATAATATCGATCAGAGGGCACAGCTGTAAGCCAGGGGAAGTAGCCAGTTAGCACACAGAATAGTAGTACTCCAAGAGCCCAGGTGTCAAGGCTCGGCTGGGCTTCCAGATTAGCTTTGGGGCCCAGGATACACATTTCAGGTGCAGTATAAGGCAGACTTTCAGGCAAAGCCTTAATGGCTTGACCCCTTGGGCAGCTCAGTCCAAAATCAGTCAGCTTGATGCGCCGGCATTCAGGGTCACAGAGCAGCACGTTTTCTGGTTTGACATCTCGATGAATTAGTCCTTTGGATTCCATGTACTCCAGGGCACTTGCAAGCTGCAGGGCAGAGCGCTTTACCTGTTGCTCAGGTATGCCAACCTGGAAATAAAAGGTGATATTTGTAAGCCCCAGTCTCACAGTTGTCCTAAAAATGAGGAGAAATATCTGGATCCACTACCTAATCCTTTTGGACTCTTAAGAATAATTAATATAATAATTAATTAAATTAATAATTAAAGTAGGATTCTTCATGATCTTAGGGTACTTTTTAAAATATGTGGTGGTTCTTTTTAACAGCTTACAGCTGATTTACCGATTTGATCTGTAAGGCCAGCAAAGGGGACACAAAGTCTTTTAAAGCGCTCACATTTCAGGCAGCTTTCCAAGAAATAACTTGAAACATTACCAAGAAGAGGAAAGTGGCATAAACTTGGGTTGTGTTCAGTATCTATCACGTAATGCAGAAACAGTGTCTGGCATCCAAAAGCTCGCATAGCATACAGTTTCTGTCTCTTTCTAGTTATATATTTTCAAAATATAATAATTAGAATTATTATTATAAACAGTTCATACCATCTTCAAAGAAGCACTTTCCCTTCTGTCACAGTAGGAAGAACTACCTTTTTCTGAGCAATTGTCTGCTAAACAGGCATGTGTGCAACAGTTAAGGACATGCTTTTTGCCTCTAACTATTTCTTCTACAATGAGTGCATATAAGGAATAAATGCATAATAATAAATAAGTGCACATAAGGAATAAATCAACCAGCTGGGATTGTGCAATCCAAAAAAGCAAATTTGAATTCAATCTCATCACCTAAACTATGGTTTATACATGGTTTATATAGGCTGAAAGTTCATGATATAGATTAGATAGCCTTGGATAATAGGGAAATGATATATAAAATATCTAAATTAACAGGAATAATTCCAGTGTTAAGGAGAGCAATGAAAGTACTGTCCACATCCTTAGTAGGAAATTCATCTCTCTCCTCCCTCTCCCTCTCCCTCTCTCCATCTCTCTCCTTTGTCTGTCTTTCTCTCTTTCCCTCCATCTCTCTCTCTTTCCTTACTTTACTTTACTTTTATTTGATTTATATACCGCCCTACTCCCGAAGGACTCAGGGTGGTGAACAGCCAACAATAAAATACATACATACAAAATTTAAAAAGCAGAAATAAAATCGAATTAAATAGTTTGGCCCAGACAGATTAAAAAACCCCAATCAATTTAAAACAAATTAAACTTTGAATGTTAAAAATATTAAAAAATATTAAAAATTTATTTAAAAAGAGGGAGAAAATTAGGCCAGGCCTGCCTGGTGGAATAAAAAGGTCTTAAGAGTGCGGCAGAAGGTGCGCAGATCTGCGATCCTCCGTATCTCCAGGGGGAGCTCATTCCAGATAGTAGGTGCCTCCACAGAGAAGGCTCTCCCTCTGGGGGCTGCCAGTCGACATTGTTTGGCCGACGGTCAATGTCTCTGTGTCTGACGGCCAATGTCTCTGTGTCTGACTCTCTCTGTGTGTATCTGTCCCACTCTGTCTGTCTGTCTGTCTGTCTCTCCTGCTGTCTCTCTTTCTCTTCCCTGTCTCTCTCTCCTACTGTCTCTTTTGTGTTCAAAACCATAGTCCTGGGAGACCTCAGGATATCATGCCTAGTACTACTATAATTCATCCCCAAAATGACCCTCAACTGAGAAAATTGGGAAGAGAGAGACCAACCGGAGTTCCAGTGGCTGAGTGTGGGCTTCAATCTCCCTATCACCACTGGCATTACAAAGTAACTTCGGTAACAGCCTTTTTTCTTTTTGAAATATCTTGGGTGTTGAAGGATGGGTGTTGAAGGATAATTTCTGCGTATTTCACTATTTGTCACCTCATCTATTTAGATACTACTGGAAATCATTTGTTGTAGGTACTTACCTTTGGCACCATGAGAGTGAAGAGATCATGAGACAATGCCAATTCTTGTGCAAAGACATAGTGTTGGGGGGTTTGGAAGGCAATCCCAAGGGCAGTGGCAATGCAGGGGTGCGCCCCTAAAGTCAGTGCAATGCAATATTCACTAAGGAAATCCTGTAGCTCTGTATCTCTTTTATGTACAAATTTCAGTGCCATGGGGGTTCCTGAAAGAGAAGAGAGTTTGGTTCATGAAAAGGAGAAGAAATCCAGTGCTCTGACTTCTCCTTATTCTAGTTTGAAGTAGTTTGACATGCAGGTAGGTATGCATTTGATGTTTTTCCTTCATTTTATTCTCACAATTCTCTAAGATAGGCTAGGCTAAGAGAAAATGATAATAGTATGTGGAAATGACCTTGGGAGACAGGAAGAACAGCTGCAGACTGGAGAACTGACATATAAAAGGTACCTCAGTCCACAGAAGAATTGGGAAGCATTTCAGAAAGGTATCTTCCTAGTTTTCTGATGAGTAAAAGGAGAGGAGGTGATAAGTTATTTCAGTCTTAACAGAATAGCAAAGTTGGAAGGGACCTTGGGGGTCTTCTAGTCCAACCCCCTGCTCAACCCTATAGCATTTCGAACAAATCAATGCCAATCTCTTCTTAAAAACCTCCAGTGTTGGATCCCCCACAAGTTCTGGAAGCAAGTTGTTCCACTGAATTAATTGTTCTAATTGTCAGGAAATTTCTCCTTAGTTCTAGGTTGCTTCTCTCTTTGTTTCCATCCATTGCTTCTTGTCCTTCCTTCAGAGGCTTTGGATATTAGGTTGATCCCCTCTTCTTTATGGCAGCCCCTGAGATATTGGAACACTGCTATCATGTCACCCCTAGTCCTTCTTTTCATTAAATTAGACGTACCTAATTTCAGCAACTGTTCTTCATATGTTTTAGCCTCCAGTCCCCTAATCATCTTTGTTGCTCTTCTCTGCACTCTTTCTAGAGTCTCACGTATTTTTGCAAGATGTTAACAGAACAGTTGCAGTCTTGCAAGATTCTGTTAATGTAGCCTTACAATAAAGATAAAATTAGTATCCATACTCTTGTTTCGGAGTCTGGACTAATTCAAAGGATTAACAATAGCTAAATTTCTGCAAGATCCAAAACACTTTTATTTTGCTTAAAATCATTTTCCAGATCTGCACAACCTTTATAAATTATTTTGATTCATAGCCTTCCCTATTCCTTCTTTTGCCTTCTGAATCCAGACCCACCTTGGCGATGATGGACTGCCATCAATACATGCCCAAAGGCACCACTGCCCAGCTCTCGAATGATGGTGTAACTACTGGTCACCTCCACTTGAGGTAGATTCTGAGCTGTCAGCTGCACCATCTCCTCAAGTCGTTTTCCAATGTCACCTGGGATTAGTTTCATGACTGCAGGGAAAGAGAAACATAGATACATATAGAGAGAGCTTGAGGTGAACACAGAAGACATTATTAAATAAGTAGAACCTTATCTCCATGGGGCTTTCTTGAAGTTTGTCCTGCTAAGCACAAAAGAGGATTTTATTATTAATTTGATTCCCTGGTTTTCTTTGGAGAAAAGATGTGGGGTAAATCTCACAAAAGAAAGAATCATTTTTCCTTTCACAACTGACTACTTTTGGAAGCCACTGGCTGCCTTTTAAAGATTTAAGTATTTTGACAGTCAAAGTTGCAGGATACAAAACAAAAATGGAATTATGTTGGCCACATACTCAACTCCGTGCCAGTAATGACTAAGGCGAGAGCGGAATGTAACAGGCAACGGCCACTTTAGTAACTCGGCCGGGCTCTTATTCGTGAATTGGCACGGTGTGGTATGCTGCACTAAGAGATAGCTGGTCACTCGTTCCTGTCAACTCCTGGGGCCCATCTCCCTTAACGTGTCTTTGACCGATCTGACGGCACATTCAACACATCCATTGCAAGACGGGTGGAACGGGGCAAGAAGACAATGCCTAATTCCCTGTGTCGCTAAGAAGGCCTCAAAGGGGGTTGATGTAAATTGGGGCCCTTTATCCAACATGAGAATGTCGGGCAACCCATGGGTCGCAAATAACCCCCGGAGGGCCCGAATGACAGCATCTGATGTGGTAGAATGCATCAGAACCACTTCTACCCATTTCGAGAATGCATCGGCTACAATGAGGAAGGTCTGCCCTTGCATTGGACCCACAAGGTCGATATGCACCCGGGACCAGGATGCTCTCAGGTCTTCCCATTCCCTTGGAGAATCCTTCAGTGGCATGGCGCTATTTTCCTGACACTGCGGGCAGGTGGACACCCAGTCGGAGATGTCCCTGTCAAGATTAGGCCACCACATATAACAACGACCCCGGGCCTTCATGCGAACGATCCCTGGATGCCCCTGATGTAGCTGGGATAGTAACGAGCACCGTAAGGTGGGTGGAACCACTACCCGATGACCCCATAACAGGCAGCCACTCTGAGTAGACAACTCGATCCGTCGGTTAGTGTAGGGCTGCAATTCCGATGGAAATGGACCCTGCAGCCACCCCCTAGCCATCCAATCCATCACACGAGACAACACCGCATCGTGGGCAGACAAATGAGCAATGTCAGTAGCCGTCACAGGCAACGGCGAGCTGTCAATCAAACAGACGGCAGATGCAGGAACAGGGTCAGGCAGCAGAGTAGGCAGAGAGCAGCGGCTCAACGCATCGGCGTGGGCAAGGTCTTGACCTGGGCGGTGGACAAGATTATATGAGTAGGCCAATAGAAATGTCGAGTAACGTGTCATCCTGGGAGGCAATATCAGTGGGGCTTGGCGGTCTCCGGCCAGGATCCCAAGGAGAGGCTTGTGATCAGTGACTAACAGAACGAGCGTCCGTAAAGGTAGTGATGAAAATGCTTGACACCAGTGACCAGCGCAAGGGAGTAGTTCTGTTCCGCCGAGCCGAAGGTGCGAGAGAAATAAGCCACAGGAACTTCTTGGCCGTTCGGTAATGCATGGCTCAAAACAGCGCCCACCCCATATGGGGAGGCATCGCAGACCAGGACGAGTGGCAGGTGGTCACAATATTGGGTTAGAACCGAGTTGGAGACCAGGAGGCGCTTAACGGCCTGAAAAGCAGCAGCCTTCTGAGACCCCCAAACCCAGGGCACCCCACGGTCCAATAAGCGATGTAATGGTTCAGCCATGGATGCTTTATGTGGAAGAAATACCGCATAAAAGTTTAGAAGGCCAAGGAAAGCCTGCAGATCAGCTTTACAGCGAGGGGGTGGGGCATCCACAATAGCCACCGCCTTAGCAGGAGTGGGGTGTATGCCAGAACCATCAACAAGGAATCCCAAAAACTCCACCTGTGATACAGCAATTTGGCACTTTGCGCGGTTCACTTTTAACCCCATATTGTCAAATTGGCAGAGGACCTGGCGAAGCCGGTTCATTAATTCTGACGTGCTTGTTGCTGACACTAAAACATCATCAAAATACGGTATGACCCTGGGGATTCCGTGGACGACTCTCTACATTAAACTTTGGAAGAGCCCCGGGGCCACACTTATACCAAATTGGAGGCGATAACACCGGAACGCTCCACGGTGTGTAACAATTGTCTGAGCCTCCACGGTTTCATCATCAACCATCAATTGCTGGTAGGCTTGAGAGAGGTCCAGCTTTGCGAACACTGACCCCTTGCCAATGGAGTGCAGCATGTATTGCACTACAGGAACAGGGTAGGCGTGGCCTAGGAGGATCTTATTGATGGTCGCCCGATAATCCGCACAGATGCAGATTGAGCCGTCCGCCGTAATAGGTGTTACTATCGGCGTCTCCCAATAGGCATAATCAACCAGTTCTAAGATTCCTTGGAGATGAGCTTATCAAGTTCGGCATCCACCTTTGCCTTGAGTGCAAAAGGCACATGCCGGGGCTTAAGCCAGTGAGGTGGAAAACTGGGATCCAGACTAAAAGAGGGTGCCCTTATAACAACCCAGTTTGCCATCAAAAACAGCGGGGAACTCCCTGACTAAACTGTCCAGCTCATCAGACTGGATAGCGTTAATCCCTTGTATGGTCAGGCCCAGAGCTTTAAACCAATTAAGCCCCAGTAAACTCGGCAAAGGGGTTGCAACAATGACTATGGGCAGCTTGCCTACAAAGTTCTTGAACTTCACCCTGAACTTTTCACAACCTAAAACGGGGATTTGTGCTCCTTGGTAGTCACGCAGGGTAGCCATCATATGGACTGAGGTGTTTTGCAAGTCGCGGCACAAGCCATTTCATGGTGCTCCAAGAAGCAATAGTGGTGGCGGAGCCGGAGTCCACCTCCATCTGGCATGGTTTGCCCTCAATAGTGACAGAGATATAGATCTTCTGGCGGAGGGAACAATCGGCTGCCAGGGTAACCATATTTACAGCCGCCGGATCCCTGGCCCAACCGGAATGGTCGTTCTGGATACCGGCTCTCCTGGGTGGATTACGTCTATCTCTAGCAGGCGGAGCTGCCGCTGCAGCAACTGGCTGAGGCGACGGGCAAACTCGGGCGATGTGGCCCCGCCAATCACAATGGCGGCAAACCGCCTCCTTGAATCGGCAGGCGGACCACGGGTGGGACCCCCCACATCCCCTGCATTCGGAATTCATCAACTTAGGTGGCCAGGGCGGTCTCTGTTGATCCTGAATACGGTTCACGTCACCAAACTCGTCCAGCTCATCTTCATCGCTGTAGTCAACCAAGCTGGAATGTACGGCCTCTCCCTTGGGCTTCTCTGAACTTTGGCCGCGGGGAAGGTCAACTATGGATAGCGTAGCGAGTTCTGCTGCACACACTTCATCTAATGCTTCTTGGAATGAAAGCTCAGGCTTCGCAATAAGTCACCTCTTCAGGTTTTGATCCCTTACTCCACTGATGAGTCTATCCAACAAATAGTCATCTAAGTCAACAAATTGACAATGTCTAGCTGCCTTCCTCAGGGCAGCCACATACTGGCTAATGGATTCACCCTCAGCCTGATCTCTATGGTAAAAATGTTGCAGGCGAGCAATCCGAGATGGTGCTGGGGTGTAATGTTCTTTAATTTGGACATGAAATTGTCCCAAGTCCCTGCGTGAATGGACTGAGGGGCCATCAGGGTCATTGCCGTATTGAACATTTCGGGGCTGTAAAAACTCAAGAAATATGCTCTCTTTTATTCATTGGATAAGTCCCGGTAATCATTTGCGATGAGGAAACACTCAAAATGAGCTACATAAGCCTCCCATGACTCTGTCGCTGGGTTAAACGGGGCGAATTGCTGTGGTGAGGCCATCTTCTGCCGCAGCGCTGGAATGTCATGTCAATCAACGCCGGTCCGATCTGACCCGCTGAACTGACAACCGAAATAATAACGTGCCAGCACTGGTTGTCTCATGGGGCCTCAGGGTGCTGACATCCCACCCTCTTCGCCACTAATAAATACTCAACTCCGCGCCAGTAATGACTGAGGCGAGAGCAGAATGTAACAGGCAACGGCCACTTTATTCAGTACAGTAACTAACTAGTGAAGAACAACTTTCCCGCATTTGACAGCTCCTTTTATACGAGCCTGTCAACTCGGTAACCAATCAAGAAATAGCTAAACTTGTCCCGCCAGCCACTAGGGGAAGCAGTTAGCGGCTAGCTAATATTCAACAAGATGCTTGATAGTTTTTCCCCATTAGAGGCTTGTTATAAGATCATAGATCTGCACTCGCCCTCTTGGCCTTCCATAGAGGCCTTAATACCCGACTTGGCCAAATAGCTTGGGCCCTTATGGAGGTGTATTGTACTGAGGACCCCATTGCCTTAGGTATCTTTTAGTCTTATTGTTAATCATTTTTATTTAAATATTTTACTGTTTTGTATTGCTGTTTTTACTTTATTGTAAACTGTCTAGAGTCATCTCTGGGTAAGATGGGTAGCAAAAGTAAGAAAGAAAAAAAGGAAGGAAGGAAGGAAGGAAGGAAGGAAGGAAGGAAGGAAGGAAGGAAGGAGGGAATCATCTGCCAAAAACATGCCTGGAAATCATTGCTTGCTGTCAAATATTGCTATACTCCTTCATAGATTTTAAGCTGCATGTGCATGATCTATAAAATAGGAATGAAAGGAAACATACACTTTTTAAAGAAATAGAATGAATTCATTAGTGGAAAGTAAAAACCATGGTGGATCTTGCAAAATAATGAAGATAATTTGATCATTCTTTTATTTCTCTGCTCTTCAGTTGAGTTTAAAAGCCGAATAGTCCTCAATTTATGATCATATGTTCAGTCATCATTTGAAGTTATGACAGCACTGAATGAATGGTGGTTTTGACTGGTCCCTGGAATTCCAGTTATCCAAGCATGACTGTGATCTGGGTGCTTGGCAGCCGGCTCACGTTTATCCCCAGTCGTGTTGTCCCATGGACACATGATTGCCGTTTGCAACCTTTCCCACCTCCCCAGTCAGTGGGAAAGCCATCAGGGAAAGTCACAAGTTGTTGGAATAA